TGTGTGTGTGTGTGTGTGTGTGTGTGTGTGTATACATACCACATCTTCTTTATCCATTCATCTGTCGATGGACATCTTGGCTCTTTCCACAGTTTGGCTATTGTGGACATTTCAGCTGCTAAGATTTTATAATAAAGATTTTACTCGGTGAGGCACACACAGATCTATATAAAGGATGTTTATGAAAAAGTAATTTACCAGAGTGAAAAAATTGAACGGAACCTGAATATCAATAGCAGAGTAGTTAAACACAAAAGGGGACATTTATTCAGTGGACTCTTTTTCTTAGTTATACTTAATTATATGGAGAAATGTATCCGATTCAGCAAAGCTGTATGCAGTGTCTGCATTTATTTAAATTATAACATAACTTTACATGAAGAAGTCATTTTGCATCGATATACACATATATGCACTTACACCTGGTTGAAATTGTGCCAAAATGTTGGCAGTGATTAACGCTGGGTTTGTAGTATTGTGGGGGGGTTTTGATTTTCTTCTGTATGTTTTGTGTATATATATATTTTTTTTCTCAGTGAGCCCTGTTTCTTCTTTAGACCGAGGACAAATGTTACTTTTAAATTTAAGTAGAGGCTGCTCAGAGGGAAAGAGACCACAGTGAACGGGGACTGGGGCAGGTCCTCAGTGGGGCAGAGCCTAGGAGGTGAAGTGGGCCGATATCCTGACGGAGGCTGGAGAAGAAAAGGATTCGTCGAGAAAGGGACATGGCAGGGGCGGAACGGAGTTCATCAGGGTTACACCGGAGGACTGAGAGAGGAAGTTGAGGGACGTGAGGCCAGAGAGGCAGACTGCCAGAGGCAGCAGGTGCCAACCTGAAGACTAGGTGTCATTCTGAGGCTGCTGCTTAGCCAGACTTTCTTGTGCTGTTTTCTGGAACTGCATTTCCTTTGGGCACAGATATTTCCAGGCTAATCCCCCTGTAGTCCCAGTTGCCTCGGGTGAAAATGTCCCTCCCTTCTGCATCTAATATGTAACTCTGCCAGTAAATGACTGTGGAGGGAATTCAGGGGTGCTGCAGCTTTCTCATGGAGCAGGTTTGTGGCCTGGCTCAGCCCGCTCTGGGGCGCGAGTCACGAGAAGGGTCAATTCACTGCCCCAGCGGGGACCCTGTCAGGTGTCTCACCGTGAGTGTTCGGTGTTTGCTTCCTTTGGGCCGAGTGTCTGTCTGAGAATAAAGACACAGACTTTCGTTTATTTGGGGCCAGGTACCAGCCCGGCTTATCTTATGAGCAGCCCAAATGCTGTCCTGAGAAAGCAGCTCTGGGGTCATGCGGCAATGCTGCCTCGAAGAGCGAGTCGCAGGTCGCCGTGCTGCAGGGGCAGGGCCTCAGCCTGCGCATCCTCATGAGTCCCTCGGCTCTGCCTACACAGCAGTCGTCTTCTCTCGTGAGCTTTCTGGTAGGATTTCTTGGTGAGTCCTCTGCGCGGTGTCCACTAGGAAGGGCCCCGGGTGTGCGTCGGTGGAGCAGGTATGGTGTGAGAGAGGACAAAAGTTCTTACGTGGCCTTAGCCTATGCTTGCCACTGCCCCAAGCCCTGAAATCTCCACCTAACCGGTCGCTAGGAGCTGAGACCATATAGTAGCAGGAGACATGGGTCCTGTCATCGAAGAAGAAAGGAAGAAGTTCCCCGAGGTGTGAGTGGCCCCTGTACAGAGCTGGTCCCTCTCAGTGGCTGTTAGGGGGCTCCCTGTGTGCAAGCTTCCGGCCCGGAAGACCTGCCAGGAAGGAGACTGGGAGACAATACAGAACGTCTTGTTTGCTCCCTCACAGTTACATAATCAGTCATATTTTCAGCAACATTCATGGAGCACCATCAACGTGTCAAGAACTCTGCGGAGCCCTTGATAGCAAGAAAGATGGTCCTTGCTCTCACTGGGCTTTGAGGAACAGGATTATTGGTGGCAAGCGAAGGGAAGTAGAGGCTTCTCTAGAGCACAGAGGAGGGACCCCGAATGCAGACATGATGGTCAGGAATAGGGTGAACGGGTGGTGACGTCACCTTCTGAAGGAGGGCGAAAAGACACAGATCATTGATTATTCGTTTGCGTGAACGGTGTTCACAAGAGCAGAACACGGACAGACTTGCCATTTCCCATTTGAAAAAAGGAAAATCTCCACCCCTGACAGTATCGCGTTCAATCCATGCGATATAGTGTGAGCATGTAGCAAAGGAGGAGCCTGATGACATGGAGGAAGGGAAAGCAGGCTGTGGTAGTGCCGAGGGGGGCGGAGGAGACAGTCATGAGTAAGCGAGCGGTGGTTCTGAAATTCGTGCAAACAGCCGTTTTCTCCCGTAATGAAAACGAAGAATCGTAGCGTTTGACAAAGACGCTATGGGAAGACCTTGATATCTTATCACAAGAGACTGCTCGAGCCGGGGGAAGCCGAGTGAAATGCGTGTGCTGATTTTGTGTCACCCTGCATATCACCTTTGCAGCATTTCTCGTTTTGGGCCTGAGTATCCTGACCACTTACGGAGTCCAAGCGATTGCCCGGCTAGAAGCATGGAGTGTTGCTCTTCTGGTCCTGTTTCTTGTCCTCTGCATTGCCGTTGTGCTCACCATTTGGAGGCAGCCCCAGAATCAGCAAAAAGTAGCCTTCATGGTATGAACACTGAACATTAGAGATCCTCAGTATTATCTGGCGCGTTAGCCTTGTAAGTTGTTTTTAAAAAGAAAAAGAGAAAAAGACAACGTCTGATGACGTTAACCAGTAAAGAACAAGAGTGTCGCGGCTCTTTGAGATGTCCTTTTTGTCATAAGGATTCTCCCTACATGGCCTTTCAAAACCTCGAATATGCTCCTATCACGTTATTATCTATAATGGTAAACAAATTTCTTGTCAAGTAATCTATAGTATCAAAGAATAAGTAGAATATTTTATTTCAGAAATTCAGTGCTCTTGCAAGAAGATTATTCCCACCAAAAGCCCTTCTGCTCTAATTATCCTGTCAGATTTGAATGAGGAGCAGGTTTGGACTTGAAGAGAGCTTCCTGGAAGGACCCCTCTCAGATGCCATGTGTATCCAGACTTCCAGAGGCATGCCCTATTGACATCTGAATGAAACCAGTGAACCCTAAACTAATCCGAACCCTACTGCCATTTGCATCTTGGTGACGATCCGGATGTTAGCGGGCCGGAGAAGTCCCCTGTTGCTTTGGGCCGCACTTAAGTACTGTAGACTGTGGTGCTCCCTTTAGTAGACTCTACAAGAATGATTTTTTTCTTCAGGTTGTCCTTGGTGTAAGAATATAAACTTACTGACACAGTGTGAAAGAATATATGTCAAATTAGTTGTCACCATGTTGAAACAGTTTGAGGAATGTACTTTCCAAATTTGAGTACATTGAAGAAGATATTTTCCCCCCTTAGGTTCCTTTCTTACCATTCTTGCCAGCCTTCAGCATCCTGGTGAACATCTACCTGATGGTCCAGTTGAGCGCAGACACTTGGATAAGATTTAGCATTTGGATGGCACTCGGTAGGTTTTTCAATGTTTTAGCTTTCTGAGCCGTGGTTCTGTCTTCCCAATTTCATGCTGATTAGAGAAATGCATCCCCTCCCCCTTCTTGGAAATAAAGAGTTTTCGTCAGTTTCTTCGTTTCCCAAATTTTAGATCATCTGAGTCCTTACCTCTCCAAATGTTTTCGGATACTTTTTTTTTTTTTTAATTAAATTCTCCCAGGAACCCTGTAGAACCCTGTAGATTCTGTTTCTCCAACTTAATGGGTGAGGAAAAAAAGCCCCCACAAGTCAAGCGATTGAATTTGTGGATGGCAGTGCAAGCAAGACTCTGATTCCAAAGCCAGTTCTTTCCAGTGTCCCAGTGGATTTCTGAAGACATTTTGAATGAGCTCAGAGCAAAAAATTTCTTTTGTTATCCAAATTTCTTATTATTTGAACCTTGGGATTTAGCATTAAATAAGATGAGTGAGCTTATTTATATCTCTACCACATGGTTTTTTATTATGATTCCTTTCCCATGTGAAAATTGAGTTAGAAAATGAGAGTTTACATTTGGTGTAACTAAAGCACTAAGCAGTTGTCTTATTTTTTTTTTTAAGACTTTATTTTTTTATTTATTTGACAGAGAGAGACACAGCACATAGAGAGCGACACAGAGAGAGAGGGAACACAGGGGGGGTGGGAGAGGGAGAGGGAGAAGCAGGCTTCCCACCGAGCAGGGAGCCCGATGCGGGGCTCTATCCCAGGACCCCGGGATCATGACCTGAGCCGAAGGCAGACACTTAACAAGTGAGCCACCCAGGCCTTAAGCAGTTGTCTTAAAAATGTGAACAGACATGTCTGTAAGGTGAAGCACGGAGAAAAGAACACTAAGTCTGCCTTGGTTTGGGTCACCTGAAGAGCTGAAGAGCTGAAGAGTGTGCTTTTTGACAGTCTTCCCATTGGCTTAGCAAGAATGAACCTAAGTTCATGCTGGTGTATGTAATTGTTTGCTTTGGCTAGAAATTAATTCAATTTCAATTTAAGCCACCAATCCAGTTGAATTGATGAGAGATTTAACCGCTGTCAGTTTTGCTCATCTCCCCATACCCGCACTAGAGTTTGGCCATATTCTGGGGACCTTACCTTGTGCCAGGGAATTGAGGAGCTGGTGCCTTGGGTCACAGGCTGTTATTCCACACGGGTTACACTAGTTTGTTCTCTCTTTCGGTCACAGTGGCCACTTCTGATTGGTGGCTCTGTTGCTTCTCTCTGCCGTTCAGCTTCACACTCCGGGATGTAACCATGCAGCTGTTCCTTTGGGGTCCGGCCCATGTGCTCTCAGGGAGCCGAGTCCAAACCCGTAGAACTCACTCCCCTCCTCTGAGCCCAGAAGAATCTCTTTTGAATCTGGCAGAGAACTTCAGCATGCTTCCTGCCTTTCCATGAGCCCTTGCTTCTCTCCTCAGACATAGACCACTGTGGTTTAATGTACTTGATCTTGGTTAAGAGCATGAACTTCGGAGCCAGACTCTCTGTGTTTGAATCCACCTGTGCCATTTATTCACCTTGAGGCCTTGGCCCATTTTTGTGCCTGCTTCTTTGTAAAACGGTGATGGTAGTACCTTTATTTGAGGACGGGGAGGGCTGGGTCTTTAAACCTTTGAGGGCAGGAGAGGAAGTAGAATTATCCCTCATCACGGCACCTGCCAAAATGCTAATTGGCAGCCTACTTCTCGTTATTTTAGATGGGAAAATTATAAAGCATTTCTCATCAACCCAAAACTCGCAACCAATTTTTAAATCTATAAATAAAACAGAGCAAAATGCCTACATGTAAGTAATAAACTATCTGGTGGGGATACGTAACACCTTTCCTTCTAATTCCCAATGAGCATGGCTGGTGATAATAAGTTGCTTTGTATATAATTATTTGGCCTCTCCTGTTTTTCTTAAAGATTTTTATTTATTTTATTTGAGAGGGTTAGAGAGCACAAGCAGGGGCAGAGGCAGAGGGAGAAGCAGACTCCCCGCTGAGCGGGGAGCCCGATATGGGGCTCGATCCCAGGACCCTGGGATCATGACCAAGCTGAAGGCAGACGCTTAACCCACTGAGCCACCCAGGCGCCCCTATTTGGCCTCTCCTGGTGACAGTAACACGTGTAAAGCACGCCCATGTCCACTTTGTTTACACAGGGCGTGTATTCCAAAATACCTGATTGTGACTCCGATAACCCACCACTTGTGTTTGGGATGTAATTTGAGATTTTACCCCATATCCTTTTGTTTAAAGCATAGTATTGAGTTTTGAGAAAAATAAATATAATTTTTTTCAACATAAATGTCTGAAAAACACTTAATTGGGAGAAACACACATTCTACAAAGATTGGGTGTTAAAAATGCAGAAGCACATTCTACTGGGAAAGCGTCCACTGGGGATTCTGCAGGGGGATTCTGTACTTGCATTCTGTCCTAAAATAGCCCAGAAAGAAGAGGAAAAAAAGCCCACTAAGTTCTATATTACATTTTCTATATTCAGTCATTTTCTGACGTACTTAAAACATTGATTTTTTTTTTTTCTTCCCTCTAAAAGGTTTCCTGATCTACTTCGCTTATGGCATTAGACACAGCCTGGAGGGTAATCCGAGAGAAGAGGAAGACCATGAAGAGACTTCCCCAGACAACATCAGTGCCGCAACAAAAGAAAAATCTGCCTTTCAAGCAAACGACCAGCACCAAAGAAACCTCAGTTTACCTTTCATATTCCACGAAAAGATGAGTGAATGCTAACGCCTGCAGGAGCTGAGCTGGTCCAGTCTTACCGTACATATCCTACATGGAGTAAACCATGACCGAGTGTCATCATCCTGCTAGGTTGCCATGGGTTTGCTGCAGACATAGTTCACCCTAACTTATACTTACTCACCTGGACAGCACCTCCTCAGATGGTGAATTGTGTACCTGGGGAAACCTCCTAAGCTCTCTCCTCAGCGATGAATATCCCCCCAAAAGTGGGAGCATGTGTGTATGTGTGTATGTATATGCTGGGGTATATGAATGTTAGAAGTTGTTTGTGTTTCACTCTGACTGCATTCTATTTTTCTGGTGTTGTCATTAATCGGTGGCTTATACTGCCGCAGTGGAAGTAATCACTGAATAGAAAAGTGCTTTGGACGTGCCTGGTGCATTTGGGGAAATAACCATGGCTTTTCCTTATTAGGTGTCGTTAATGTCGATTAGAACATGCTTTTTAAAAAAAATGCAGTTACCCATCCCGGTGTCTGTCACTGGTCAGGAGCGAGAGGAGGGGAGAAGAAATGAGCCTTTTCTATAACTCATCAGTGCCAGCAGGGGGTTTAGTCCAGATTTTTCTTCTATAAAGTATGGCAGTTTGCGACAACTTCAGCCACAGGCGTGTTTGCGTCCCGCCGGGCTACCGAGGGCGGGAGCGGCGCTCTGGGTCACCCGATGGCGCCCCTTTCAGCTGCTGTCGTTTTTTGAGAGAAGTGGTCCTTCCTCAGTCCCGGCAGGGGCTTGAGAGCAGTATGTGTGATCTACTTGGGGACCCTTTCTGCTAGAAAATGAAGGTGGTCCCCTGGCAGGAAAGCTTGCGTAAGGAGCAGCGATGAGCGTATATTTGAAAATCAGAGTCAGACAAATGCTTGTGTAAGTAGACACCAAGCATCTTTGTCTTTTAAAGTCACATACAGTAAGCCAGTAAAATCTTCCCGGATCACACGATTGGCAGAACGATTTACACTTTTCCCTTTTACTTAATAACTAATCACAGTTCAGTTTTAAAAAAAAAAAAAAAAACCTCATCAGGTACAGAATTCACTCCTTTGTTCCTATTATTTTGTCTTGTCCGAGAATGGAGGGGCTACACTAGCAAATTATGTCTTTACTACATGCCAAAGAGGAAAGAAACAAAGGGATACAAGAAGAGGAAATGTCCCTGTTCTGAGTTTAAATTGCCTATTCAGATGTTAAATTGCATGTGCCCCAATTTGAGGGTTTGGGATCGAATTTGCCTTTGATGTTTCTTTTGGAAACAGTTAGGGATGTTTTCCTTCCCCATCCCATAAATTGTTTAGCACTTTTTATCTCATTTATTTTTAATTGACCACACTAAATCTGTCAATACCCCATTCCCAGTGGTTGGGGAATAAAATATCTGGGCTAAATACACGATTATTTAAAGCCTCAAGCTAAAAAATTAACCTAATTGAATCAAAGCTATATAAACACAGTAACCTTTAAGGAATAAATGATTTGTTTTATATGTAAGATTCTCTAATCACTGTATCTTGCTTCATAGGGTTCTCTTATAGTGGACTGTTTACCTGCAGTGTGCTTTGCTTCTCATGAATTAGCTTTCTTACAAATAATTAAATGGTTTACTAGGTGAGGCTAGGGGCTAAATACTTACACATCAACGGGTTACATTCCCAGGATGAATGTTATCAAGCTCACCAGTTGACCGGCTTAATCCAAAGGCAAGGAAAACATTTGTTTCCCGATAGCTCTTCCAAGAGATTAATTATTTGCCCGATGCCATTAAAGAGCAAGTTGTGATTGTTTTGTCTAACCAAGAGTTTATTGTGATTAAATATCAGATAAACAGAAAGCCTGGGTTTTTGGCTGCTAGTGTTGGAGCCTCCCTAATCTAGAGCTCAGTACTGACATTCCACAATTTCCAGGGTGCATGGTAAAATCTGAAGCCCAGAATTCTCTTTCGAGCATGTTTTGCTGGGGAGGAAAAGTTGGATACGCAAGGAGTACAAGATTTTGGTAAGGGCTGTAGGCATGAGCCTAAATCCTTGTCGTTAAAGTGTTACACTGAGAGCCCCCCCCCTTTTATTCTCTCATCGAGCTAGATTAGGCCCTTAACATGGGGAACATAAGGAATTTCATATATAAATATCTGAGTCTTTGACCGTAACAAAATCAAGAAATTTATTTAGAATGTGACAGGCAGCTAAAACTCTTATGCCCACTGTGTTCGATGAGGAGCAGAATTTAGTTAAAAATTAATTTTCCACATTAAAAAACTTTGCAAACACAAATATCTATGAAGAGATGCTTTGTTGGTGATTGTGCTTTTTTTCTGTGAAGACTCAAACGTGTGCTCCTATCTCTGTATGAGTGTGTATATATGTATATGTCTGTGTATTTCAAACAGTGTATAAGTCGGTTGGGTTTATGATGGGCTTTGGAAACGATACAATTGTACGGATAAAAAAACCCAATTGATGTGGAGAAAAAATAATATTTTATATTGGTAGATATGCTTATACAAAATTTTTAGGTTTTAAACTATTTTGCAATATACAGCAATTTTATATATATGATATTTTCTGTAGATTCTTTGAGAAAGATATATTTATAATGTATCTAATGTGGAATCACTAAACTCGAGTACATTGTAACAGGTGCTTTATAATCTGAAATGGAGTAGGGGTAGGAGGTGTTAGGGTTTTCTGTTTACTTATTTCTGAGGCACCTTTTCTGACATCTCTGTCTTGCTCTGTGTTTATTAGACGCCAGTTCTACCAGGTCTCTTACCACCTCCCTGTTGCTACATCTGAATTCATAACCTTTGGAACAAAATACTGCTTTTACTTTCTTAGGATTACCAAAATGTTTTTGTACAGATACGACTAGTAATCAATCACACTTCTATAAACTCCTCTCCAGAAATGAAAAAAATGCATACCACACATTCTCTTAATTGTGATTGAGTAAAAACAGTTTAAATTACTTTTCTTTCTTACACTAGGAAATATGCTTTCTTAATATTTTCAATGAGAAACTTCCTATCAGAGCACCTTTATATCATACTCTTCAAGAAAGGGAAAGGATGATTTGTGAATAACCATAGAAAGGCCCTGCCTACCCTACATTTAAAAAGGTAGCTATACAAATTCAAGTTCAAACCCTATTTATGAGAAAACTTAACAACTTTTGATAAATACTGAAATACAGATTTTTGCTTACTCACATTTTTCCCCCAGAGATAAACAGCAAGAAAACTTTGTAACCCCAAAAACATCATTTAGGATATATACGTTGAAGAAAAATTAGCATTGATATATTTAAAACTTTACTACCACCAACCATAATTAGAAGAAAATATCTCTTGCAGAATTGTTTTGCTTTAAAATACAGAAGCCTCTCTTTTAATTTTCTGAATAAAAGATTTTTTAACTTTTTTTTTAATTTTAAAAATAAGCAAATTATTTGCTAAGTCGTGGGTATTTTCAGGTAGTTTTTCAACCTATTTTGAATCAGCCTCTATATTTTTACCTAGTTCCTTTCTAAACTAATTTGAATGCTTAGCAGGGAGAATAAGGAAAACTACTGTTCTCCAGTTCTGACAATGCCAGAGGAGCAGGTCAGTCCTCTTTGTTCGTAAATCAGGGCATATTCTGAGATTACAAACCACATGATAATGTTGTGCCATGACCCCAGCTCTCCCTCGTGATGTAGCTCATGATGTTCTCTGCCTGATTTTCTCCTGATGAGCTTCAAGCAACTGTAAATTAACACCCAAACTACCATTTCCACAGAATTTTAAAGGATTGGGTTCAGAGTGAACATCGTGGAGTATTAAAATTCACATGATGAGTGTGAACTTTGGGGAGAGGGGGATTAACTTTTTTTTTTTTTTTTTGCTAGTGCCTTCTCTGTACATTTTCTACTTACATTCTCTCACATGTCCTAAAATATCAAGGGAAAAAGTACCAAAGTTCAGCACAGGTCATTTTTTAGCCATGTAGATTTGGAAATAAGGTTGCTTGACTTTGTTGTTTAGCTGAGATTTTTTTTTTCCTCTTTGTATAATTATATTTAAGCATTTTTAAATGAATTTCTGGTTTCTGGATTTTGAGAGCCCTGCTCTGTTTTTGTGGTTGTTGGTTTTTATAACATTCATTATTGCTTATATGTACACAGTTTAGTCTCAACTGATCTCAAGTGCATTTTCTTATGGCTCAACCCAACTGGCAACCCTCTTGGCTGTGAGTAACATACTGAGGTTTTATTCACCATGGCTGAAGCCACTGCCATAATCTCTGGCCTTAAAGAACTTTCTGTGACTACTGGTGCCCCATGGGGATTGTGACCAAGAGCCCGGGCTGGTTCCAGGATCAGGCAGCCTGCAAAGTGTAAGCATCCATAACTACCCTTGTTGAGTGGGGTCTTGGGATGACAGTGGGATATGAAGCGAATATGCAAGTTAGGAGTTTGGGGTCCTTAATTTCAGTCCTGAATATCCCAGAGACACATCAACGGTCAATGATAAGGAACCTCTAGGAAAGGATGGAAAGGATGGCTGCTTCCTGGAACTGGTACCATAGGGTCTGGCCCACTGCAATCCCCATATGGGCATGGACAGCCCTGTGGTAGAAAGTGCACGGGCCCAGGCTCAGCTGTTAGAGAGTTTGTATTGCCTATAGGGTGGGTTTCTCTGGCCCAGGCCTGGTTAATGGGCTCTTCATCTTTGGTGTCCACTAGGGCTGCCCCATTGTGTTATTGCTCTATTTTGTTGTCCTTGTACTCAATAGAAGCTGTTGATAGGGCCCAAAACCCTACAGAAATTCTATGTCTGTAAAACCCAACAGATACATTGGACTTGTCTATATGTAAAGATTTTCTGTTTAGTAGGTAATTTCAAATTTAAATGTTTCAAATGATAATCAGAGTTCCTTTTTACTTACAAAGTTGGATTATTTTTTAGAATTGTAATAAATAAAAACTCTTGCTGCTTTACCACTGTAAGACAGGCTTTCTACTGTGACCATGTACTTTTTTTAAAAAATTGCAATAGGACTTGTAATAATGGAATATGCCTATGTAACACACATACCCAAAGCATACATTTCACACTTATCTTTAAAAAAAGTGGGAGACCTTTCAAGCCCAGAAATATAGGTACAATCTAAACTGAAATGATTATAACATCAAGTATATTCACCTGGCAGCCTAGGGACTACATGGGGACCACCAAGTCCTGTAAGATAAAAGACATGTTTCCACATACCCTCAATCTGCATGGCACATCCTAAAAACTATCACTTGCTCCTGAAGCACGCCATCCCAGGACCACACATCTGAGATCCTACCACTTCAACTGTCAGTCTCATTGCTTTTATCTGCAAGAAGCTCCTTCCTCAATGTTCCCTTTACCAAATGATAGCCTCTAATAATTGGTGATCAGTTATGGACAACTGACACGTTTTTTATGGTATAATAAAGAAATCTTACCAACTTCAACCCTCCTGAATCTCTGACCAGGAGGAAGGAGTCAGAGCTTTCTGACATGGCTCAACGTTACATAAAATTTCAAATCTCTTGAATTAGTTTGTTATTTTGAAATGTCTTTGTGTATGTACTTTATTCCCATTGATTTTAGTAAGTTGGAAGGAACACCATGTTGAACTGTAGTATCAGTTAACCAGCATTGGAAACCAAGCTAAAATAGCAAAGTATTTACCAAGGGGAGCCTCAAACCTAATTTATGTAATTTTTGGCTATAAGAATCATTACTAGGTTTTGGTGCCCCACATCTGCCCTGCTACCACGTGGTCACATGAAGGCAATGATCCCCCAGGAACTGTGTCTGGGCTGTGGATCCAGCCAGGAACCCCAGCAATAAACACCATCTCCTAGTGTCCTTTAAAGAAGGCCACACAGATAGGCCTGCCTTTCGGGTGAAGGGCTCAAAGCCCATGGATTGCTAAGAGATTGTACTTAGAAGTCCCCATCTGTGTGGAAAAGGCAATTCATTTCATCCTATAAAATATCTCAGAAAAAAAAAATCTCAAAGACGTACAAAAATAACCCATTATCACATTATCTCAGTTTGTCTTTGAGAGTAGGTCAAAGTAGGGCTGAAACTATCCAGAAAGAAACTCAGCTCAATACTGATTTACTTGAACTTTTCCAGTAAACGCTGGGTAAAGAATCCTTGTTGCCCTCTACTAAACCTGGAGCAGCCAGGGGCGCCTGGGTGGCCCAGTCGGGTAAGTGTCCGGCTCTTGGTTTCGGCTCTGGTCATGATCTCAGGGCAGTGGGATGGAGCCCTGGTTGGACTCCACACTCAGTGGGGACTCTGCTTGGGATTCTCTCCCCTTCTGCCCCTCCCTCTGCTCACACACGTGTGCACACGTTCTCTCTCTCTCTCAGATAAATAAATCTTTAAAAATCAATTAAAACCGGAGCAGCCAACATGAAGAGGAAAACAAGACAGACTGTACTACCCAGGAGAACTCTACAGCTCAAAGTGGGCCCGTATCTCCCTGATGGGGAGCAAGCTTGCTTCTGGGCTCTGGATCCCTTAACCCAATACTAATGGGGAACATATGTTTCCCAGTGGCTGAGTCTCCAGATCTCCAAAATCTTCCTCCATCTCTGCACTGATGTCTGATGTTTCTTCAAGCAAGGACCAAGGGATTCATTGCCCTGGTAGAAATCAGACTTAAGATGTCCATGTTCTTGGAACTGAAACATTGACTTGGCACCAAGTTGTAAATGACTGATAGAAGACACTTTCAGAAAATGAGCATGTAGAGCAAGTAAACAGGAGAAAACAAATGGGCACAGGACTGTTGATAGTTTACCATTAAACAAAGAAAAAGGAAGGAGAGGATGGAGGTTTTAAGTCACTTACATTTTAGCTTAGAGTCACCTCTCTTCCCCTAGCCATTTAAAGGCTCTTGTTACCAACAGACAGGCAATACATCTTTACAGCTATATCCTGGAGCTAGGAAAATACTTCTGCTTGCTTCACCTATTTTAAGTAAACCAACTTTCTGGGATTTCTATGTGTCTCTTGATGAGTGGCTGTGGGAGCATCAACAAAGATTGGCATTCTATTGGGTTTTCAGAGCGGTATTTAAAACTACTCAAGTTAGCTTCTGCTAAAACCTTGAAACATTAATTAAAAAAAATATTCATTGGGACGCCTGGGTGGCTCAGTTGTTAAGCATCTGCCTTCGGCTCAGGTCATGATCCCGGGGTCCTGGGATGGAGTCCCACATTGGGCTCCTTGCTCCGCGGGGAGCCTGCTTCTCCATCTGCCGGCAGCTTCCTCTGCTTGTACTTGCTCTCTCTCTCTGACAAATAATAAAATCTTCAAAAAAATTTAAAAAGTTAAAAAAATTTTAAAAATTCATCTTGGTTGTATTTCTTTTTTTTTCCCTTTAAGATTGTATATATTTATTTGTCAGAGAGAGAGAGAGCACAAGCAGGGGAAGTGGCAGGCAGAGGGAGAAGCGGGCTCCCCGCTGAGCAAGGAGCCCGATGCGGGGCTTGATCTCAGGACCCCGGGATCATGACTGAGCCGAAGGCAGACGCTTCACCGACTGAGCCACCCAGGCGCCCCTGTTATATTTCTATAGTTAGTGAAGACCAGTTCAAGAAATGAAATGTCCTGATTTTGGACTTTTTTTTTGTCTCACCTAACAAATTTCTGATGCTATTCACCACTTCGCAGGGGGGAAGCAAGAATAGAGGGAGCAGAGGAGTAGGGAGATTTTTCAGGACAGAGTAGTCATAGACAACTATTATAAATTAAGATTTATAAGGAACATGCAACATACAAAATAACTCACCAACAAGGAAATCGTCATGGAAGTGCTGACCTCTCACTCTGGTAACCTGAAGGGAGTGCTGATTCTGTGTCCCTGAGATACATATTGTGTAACATCGTGCTTTTAAAGACAACTGGGAGGAATACGCTTCTCTAGACCTAAGTCTCCAGGGGCAGCCCACTCCCCGCCCCTGATCCCACTCACTTCTCTCTTCCATTTCCTGATTTTTGCTCGTCCCTTCCACCACTCCTCCTTTTTTCTCCAGCTTGTCATTTGTTAAGCCAGGGCTGGAGGCTGCTGTACCAGCTCTTCAGAGACAGGCAGTAACGCACAGTCCCTCAAGTAGTGCTGGTTCCTCCCAAGGGTGACACTGCTTCCCTGGACACCAGTTTTTAAAAAGCCATTGCTTTGTTTGCGACGTCTCCTCTGCCTCCATCAGGCAGTATCTGATGGTTCAGGGAAGGCTGGGACTCCCGAATTTGTCCCACCCCTGAGGCTCTCTGCGCTTCGTGAAGTTGGGGGTCCATGGATGACCAGCATTAGAGGCTGCTGTACAGTGAGGTGGAGGGAGCAGACGGGCGGCAACTAATCAAGAACGAAAAATTGGGTGTTGCAGATACTATGATCATTTATCTAAAAAGCCCCCAAATCAGTGGAAAGCTATGTGGACTAATAAGAGGGTCACCATTAAGGTGATCAGATACAAACACACAAAAATTAATCATGCCTTAGGAAACCAGGCTTCAAGTTGTATTGGACTTGGAAAATGCTGTAAGAAAATGCTTATTTTGATTGGCCAATAGTCCAGCAGTTGTTGGAGGAAGAATGGAAAAAACCAAGGCAAACAGAGATTCTAGTAATAAAATTCCTTCTCACCCTAGAGAAGAAGAAAATGGGTTTTTATAGTGAAATACAACCCATAAAGAATACAATTTTGGCAGTTTTATTTTTCAAGTTCAGTCATCCTGAGATTGTCTCATTCAAGGACAATAAGCTTGTGATTAAGCAGCTACATGTCTTGGAAAAGCCCCTATATTTCTTGTATATTTTGCTCCCATCCTAATAGAGTATTTGTTCCCTAGGGCTGTCATAATGAAGTAACGCAGACTCCTGGCTTAAGCAACAGAAATGTATTTTCCTCACAGCTCTGGAAGTTAGAAATCTGAGATTAAGGCGTTGGCAGGGTTGGTTTCTTCTGAGCCTCTGTCCTGGGTTTGTGGGAGGTTGTCTTCTGCTATCTTCATATGGTCTTCCTTCTGTGCCTCTATGTTTACTCTTAGCAGAGTACCAGTGATATTGGTTTAGGACTCACCCTAATGACCGCATTTTATTTTAAAGATTTTATTTATTTGAGAGAGAGAGAGAATGAGCATGAGGGGGGAGGGGCTGAGGGGGAAGCAGGCTCCCTGCTGAGCAGGGGAGCCCAATGCAGGACTCGATCCCAGGACTCCAGGATCATGACCTGAGCTGAAGGCAGTCCCTTAACCAACTGAGCCACCCAGGCACCCTAATGACCACATTTTAATTACCTCTTTAAAGACCGTATTTCCAAATACGGGAGGTTAGGACTTCAACATTTAAATTTGGGAAGGAGGAGGGAACACAGTTCAGCCCATTAACACAGACTTCAGGTAAGTTTAGATACCTAAATTTATCTAAAGTGTACGTGATGTAGAAGAGGCTGCGAAAGCGGAATTACAAAATTATTTTCGATGTACCAGTTAACCAATTTGACAAGGTACTGGGGGAAAGTCATTCATAATAGCAAAACAAATAAGCAAGCAAAAATAAGAAATAAGCCTTGCTTATTATTATTGCTTGTTGTTAACAAGCAAGACTTACATGGAAAAATATAACTATGTGATTACAACTAAATAAGCGTTAACTATGTAGTTACACACACACACACACACACACACACACATTTAGGTAGCCAACATTTAGCAAAAGAGTATTTGATACAAAATATACCTGGGAATGCAGAATTCTAAAACTGTTGTCCTAATACTAGCATTAACCAATTATTAATTATAATGGGGACATACAAGTAGACTTGAGTAAGTTGAAAGCTAGTATTATATCATTCCTGGATGGGAAGACTCAATATTGTAAATATGACCATTCTTCCCCCAAACATGAATTCAATGCAATCATCATCAAAACACAATAAAGTTTTTATGGAGATTGCAAGCT